TATGCAATATTGTGACGTATTACCACATCATTAAATAATACTTGTAATTCAATACATATTCATCGATAACAACTGTATTCAAAATTTCACATTGACAATATCAATGAGTAATAGATCAATTAGGTGAGTAAATTGCTACTGGTATTTCAAAGCATGCATGCAATTGTTTTTTTTTTTTCGTCACAATGCAAATATCAGTGGTTAACTCAACAATGTGGAGGAAGATGAAAATTGTTTTACATCAAGGTTACCAGACACTTAATTTCAATATGAATTGCTTTTAACATTAACAGAATTCAAAATGAAAGCAGCATCATGGAATTATTCAATACCAAATATTGTTGACCTATAATGTATCAGACTCAAATTTCCACAGTTCAAAATCGAACAAGACTCATTGAAGTTATTCAAGGGCACATAAGACGTCATTAGTGACATACTAACTATGGAGAATCGGAGAATCCGAACCTGTATTCACGAGTTTCATTATCATTTTTTACTATCTAGTGATTTTAGAACAAAAAACATGAATTCGAAGTTGCTTCCTTACAAGAGCAGAGTAGCACAGTGATATACACAGGGTGTTTATTTACTGTTTGAAAATATTCCAACTATAAAATCCTAAGCTCAAAATATGAAGATTTAACCCAAATCACCTAGATAAAATGTGTCTCCTGTCCGAGTCACAGGGTGTCTCTGTTTCAAGAAATTCTTATAGATAACAATAGATATGTTATTTTTGTTCGTGGATTAAAGTTTCATTTGCGTAATGAATGCAATCCAATGACTAAAAACACCAACATAATTGATACTGCATTCTATTCCAGAATTACTGATGGTATATAAGTCGAATCGCGATTACGCTACGGTATTTGCTTTTGGGGTTGGTCAGCTCACTCAGCTGAGGTATTTATGGCTCAGAAAAAAATTATTAGAACAATGGTCTTCAAATCACGTACTGATAGCTGTAAAACTATTTTTGAAGAATTGAAAGTTTTAACACTTGCATGTCTGTATATTTTTGAAATGTGGTTTTATGTTCATAACAACAAAAGTTTTGTGAAAAATTCTCAAGTTCATAATTTTAACACTAGATCAAAAGATAACCTACACCTGCCTATTACTACAAAAACGCTCACATTCAAATCTCCAAACAACATGGGCCCAATGCTTTATAACAAAATCCCACAAAACATCAAATGTATTTCCTCGACCAAACAATTCAAAATAAAATTAAAAGAATATCTTTTGCTGAAATCTCACTATTCCGTCCATGATTTTTTGTGAACTGCTTTTTAATCATTACTTTACTATACTCACTTGTGATACTAGATTTAAGATAGATTATAAGTTTATATTGTGACGATTCCTATACAATGTTATTTTGTCTGAAAGGAAAATAGAGATTAAGTAAGTAAGTAAGTAAGTAAGTAAATACCCATTTATTCTCAGGAAACTAAGAACTCACGACGCAGGCAGGTCATTGCTGTCAATGAAGATCTTGCTGAAATCACACCCTGGGGAACTAACAACCTAGTTGAATTCAACGCCGCGAAAAACCTGTATTTTCTCTAGAAAGCCGGAACTCAGTATGCCTCATGTAACAATGTCAGATACCAACATTTCCACCAAGTCAACTGTATCTATTCTCGGTGTCTCCATCAGCAATACTCTTTCATGGGATAATCATGTCACTGCCAGATCCATAGCGAAAGCTGCTTCACAAAAACTCAGATTCTTATTCCGTACGAAAAGCTACGTCACACCTCAACAGCTTTTATGATTTACAAAGAACAGATACGAACTGTTCTAGAATACTGTTCTCACATATGGGGTTCAGCACCCAAACATTCTCTGATGCTCTAAGATTCAATCTCCAGAAGAGAGCCATTCGCCTGATGGGTAGAATGGTCAGCGACCTTTCACTTTTTTATTGATAGTTTCACGGGAAATGTTCTTCAGAAGTCTCTGCAATCAGTTCACGACTATCAAACTCGACAGTCAGCACATACTTTCGTTGTCAAACTCGAAATATGTCGAACAACACTATATCAAAACTCGTTTCTCTATAGAACGGAAAAGCTCTGGAATTCATTGTCTAAGGAAGTGTTTCCAAGGACTTATAATCGAAATATTTGTGCAGCTTCATGTTCAACTGAAATATCTCGAGAAGTATTGGACAATCGAAAACTTGTGATGAAATTGCAATTCCGCCAGTGGCGTAGAACTTGGGAAGGATCAACCACTCACTTGTCCCTATCGTGTGCTTCTGGTAAGTGGTAGCCAGAAACGTTCATTCAATAACATAATTCAGTATGGTATATACAGTTCCCACCTAATATGACAATAATACGTCAAATAGTTTTGAAGTATACTGCGCACAAAGAATGATTTTTATATTTTTGAAGAAACTCAGAAAGGAGACGCATTTTATCCAGGTGATTTGGGTTAAATCTCCATGTTTTGAGCTGAGGATTGAATAGTTGAAATAATTCCAATTAGTAAAGGAACACCTTGTATACAATTTTCTGACATTGCGGAATTCTTGTGGTCATTGCAGTTCACCTTTGTTATTTCAAATTGAAATTTCGATTTTTCTCTAATCAATATTAAGGAACCTACTCTGATAAGAATGACATTTTCGAAGTAAATTCGACATTGCCCCTTTCATTATTTGAATCTTTCATGACGTGAAATTAAAGAGTTATGCTTCCCCCTGGTAGGAGGTTAGAGGTACGGGGATAAAGAAAGCAGAAAAGTCGGTACCTCTCGAATCATAAATCGACGGGTCCGAGCGTTTATTCCGGATATTCATTTCATTAAAGTCCTAAAATTTGGAAGGTAGATAATTGAAATGTTGTGTGATTGATCTCTGACCTCTGTTACTACTTGACAAATAAATATTTATCGACTACTGGAATCATCAAAAAATGGTGCCAAATAATTGTATGATTCCTTTGATAGATACCACGTCGAGTTCCACGTGAATCACATATCGATCATCAATATTTATCTGGATTTCCGTAACAGTTTTCTTCGACACGATTCACTATCTATAGTTGTATTGTGAGATGCTAGGAAGCATTATCGAATTTATCAAATTTTCTCCTTGTTTTCTGTATCCAAAAGCCACCTTGTATCCCTATATAATTAATTCAAAGGGGGATACAATTTTCACTCTCACCAGTTGGCGCTACTAAAACGTGAGGGCAGTGTCAAAGTCAGAAATTATAATATTTTGCCGTATCGAAAATATACGAGAAAAATTATGTGAATATTTGAATAATGAATAGAAAACCTCACAGGTATCGAAAGACTTGAGTCGACTTACGTTTTTTACTCTCAAAGTGGAACTTCACAACAATTTCTCACATTGACAAAGGAGAAGATATCGAAGGTGGAAGCCGAATGACATGAAAATTAGAAGTATATTTGTCAGTTCTACCAACCCTGATCTCACGTTTCAGTAGCGCGTTTTGGTGGACACTAAATAATGTTAGCCCTCATTTAGTTCTTCTACCGAGTGCAATTTCGTAAACCTCAAAAACAAGACTATTTCAAGTGAATCGGAACAGTCATGATACACTGAAATAGAAAACTGAAGATTATATTAAATTTAAAACTGATGGTGTTTGAAAATTACTTATAAAGGCATCTATAAAATTATGCAAAACTGGTGCAATTGGGAAAATCGTTGAAAAGTGGCGTATATACAGGTTGTTTGAATTTCATTAATCATCTCTGAGAGAATTGATGGAAAATGGGAAGTAGGTGTACAATAATCTAGAGGTTTTCCTACAAAATATTGCTAAAAAGAACTAGCTATAGAACTCTCCAGAAAAGTTGCTCAAAAAATTGAGTAGACCGCTTTTGCCAATTTTGAATTTGTCGTAATTTTTCGAAAAATGAATTGATTTTCAATCGGAAAGCAGTCCTCGGAAGCTGCGTTCTTCCTCTTTAGGATTCATTGTTCAAAACACATGATCAGTCATGACAAACCAAGGGTTTTGAAAAAGTGTTACAGAAATGAAATAGTATAAGTGCCTTTCGATATTTCTCATACAGAATGACAAAATTTGCTTTTTTCTCGATTTTCTGGATTATATCGCATCACTGCGGATTGAAAAACTTCGTGGGAAATATTCAAACCATTTTGCCTCGTTATACCATCGAGGAAATTCTAGGAGATGAATTCATATTGCTTTGAAATCATGAACATCTTCAACAGGAAAACAATTCTCTTTTTTTTGGTGAAATCGCCTGTTCAGTTCGATGCTGCTATGACCAAATGCTATTGATAACAAGAATTCGTCATTCGGATCATCGTTCGGATCAGCTGCCCTGGTTAATATCTCGGAACAATTTCGTGATTTTTCAGATATCTCAATTCAAAGGGTGAAAGGGGGCACTTCTGGATCATTCTGACCTATATGTAACGCCTATATACGAACAGTAACAAATATTCAGTGATTTTCAGACTTTCATGGGCTACCATGATATCAAGAAACTTTTTTCTTATATTATGTTTGTTCATGACATAATCGGGAATGCCCCGGAAATTTCGTATTTGTGTAATCAACACCTATTCATGCGGGTGATACCATGGGAACACCCAATATAACATCTCATCAAGAGGGATCCGCCCTTTCCGAAGAATAACGGCAGTTGTCAAAATTTCAGTGGCCCACTCAATTCTTTGAACACTTTAGTTTCATCAAAAATATTGTTGAAAAAAAGAGGAGAATAGTCATTGGGCAGAAAGAAAATCTCACAGTCAACTCCATCAAAACTAAACTTCATTTAACATTGGAATTGAGACATGTTTCGAAGCTTCAAAGCTACATCATCAGCAAAAATTATTTGTTACAGAAAGTATCATAATGAGAAAGACTAAGATTTTCTTCCTGTCCTATTATCTTCACTCCACTGCAAGATGGATCTACTCAGATGGTTAGAATGGTAATTCATCGTCTTTGACTTTACTCTTTGCTATTATTTACCTCCACACCTTCTAACATTTTCATCCCAATCAAAAATGCACGGAGACGGAGAACATCTGATTTCAGGAGAATTCATGAAGCAATTCGTCTTTTCTGGCATCCCTAGCGACTCCACTTCAGCGGTTCCGCTGGAATTTTCTGAACTCATGCTGAAGGATGCACTTCTTTCAGTACAGCTGTTGAACGGTTATATCTGTAGGCAGTTTCCATCTCCATCTTGTCTCTATCCATAAATAATACACATAGATTTTTCAGCTCGAAATTTAATAACGCGGTACATCACCAGCTAGACTTTTTCAATAATAAACTAACCAATAGTAGCGATCAACCAGTTAAAATTAGATATCATCATTAGTATTGGCTATTTCTATACATTTCAATGCTACACAATAGACCGAGATCATATACTAGGATAGTTTTTAATCTTGGAAAATTAAGTAGGCGCATCAGTTGTTGGAGTTGTGAAGGTTCCATGAGGATTATAATAAATAATTGTGATTTCATTATTCAACCACTATAGTAGCATCCTCAGCAAACCGTAGAAGAATACCTAAATAAGTTCTCTAACTTGCTTCGTTTTCGATATACAGGGTAGTAGTATTTCCATGAAAATCGTTTTGTTATTCATTACTCAACTGTCTTTCCATCAATATCAATAAAACGTTGTGGTTTTGTTAATATTAATATGAAGCTTCTTCTGGTGCAATTAGATTCGAAATAATATTTCCAGTGGCGTCACACTGGGTAAATTCATCGATATTTATGGTGAATGCCACCGGTTTTTTTGAGTTTCATATTTTTATTAGAACTATTGAATTAACAACTTCTTTATCCTTTGTGTAATTTTTGTATCTTGCTTAATTTTAGAGGAAACAATAAAAATTCGATTTGATTCCAAATAATGATGTAGGCGTGTCTTCAAGACTATTATTGAGATTACTCAATAACCCCAATTAGTATCCTTTTGAAATTTTGAGGCTTTCTCAGTCTCCAACCAAACTACATTTTGGAACCATGAAAGCTATAAATTAAAACAATTATTACTCCCAACTTCAACATCCCGTATCTCAAAAACGGAGTTATGACACATATTTATATGAACTTTTTGCTACAATATTACAAAGAATTTCCCCTTTGAATTTTTTCGGTGTTATTTAGATACACCCTGTAGAATCCGGCTGAATGATAACGAAACATCATTTGGTTGTTTTCTCACCACAAGCTATATAGAAACGACTTGTCAAATACATGCTGGCATGGCCATATCTACTCGATTTTAATTAGAATTGAAAAGAAGCGCTTCCATAGTGACAAAGGTCCATATTTCAGCTACACAAAACTATGGTGATGAAAATGTATTGCTTTAGTGGTGAGAAAAATGTATTTATACACCTTGGCTGTGAAGAATATTACTCGGGTATGGGAAATAATGATATTCTTCACTATCTTGGTGTTTAAATAACTATTTAGTTGTTTGAACCCAAATATTGGAAATCAGCCAAGTATCCACATTAGATGAATTCAGTAAAAGGAATGAAATAAAATAAAATATGGGAATTTCATACCTTCAAAATCACTATTACATTCATGGATTCCTTTTTAACAGATGTTGAAGAATAAGAAATTCAAACTTATATGATTGTAAGATTGATAAAATTCTGATTTAATGGTCATTGAGTGCTATAAAGAAAAATGTACTTCAATGTGAGTCAATGACCTCTCAGTATCATTGATGACGTACTCACTAAGTAATATTCCATTTGATGCATTGAAAATATATAATAACAACGATGAAATTCGCAGTATTGTATGAATATGGTTTCGAAATATCAGCAATTGTATGAGACAGGACAATAAATCACGAGATTGAACTTAGGACAGGCATCAGCATTACAAGAGTCGTTATTGATACTTCCAATGCTCCTCACAGAAAGCAAACGTCTGTATAAGGCTAACCTCTGATCAATAATTAACAATACTGTCCAATTTTTTTCCACAAATATGTAGGTACTCTCTACTTCCATTTTGTTTTTTTGTTTTTCATCGCCCACTTCAATTTTCGAAAATTTCAGAAAACACCCAGTATATACACTTCTGAAATCTGACCAATCATGCCGAATGAACCGCCCTAATTACTTTTCCGCTTGATGATGAATGGTTATATGATTATAAAAACCTCTAGAATAACCAGAAACTATACCATTTGAGTATCTAATCAATTTCTAAAAAACCTAGAAAAATCAACTCTATTCAATTTCCTTCATCATTACTGACCTGGTTCCATACGAGGGGATAATTATCCATTTATAGTGTAAAATAGTATGTATATTCATTCTAGTTTCGTGGGTGATTAATAAATTCCTATACGCGATAACTTTACATACTATATAGCACTGACGACACTAACCACATCGAATCACTATTAATTAGTGTGACGCATATAATGATAACCTCTCAAATATAGGGCATGACGTTATGACCCTCGCTAGGAATAGATAGACAAAATATTTCCAAAAACGTTTAGAAAGGTGATTTATCTAATCAATAACCGGATATTCTATAACGAGTACATCAATTAGGAGGATATGAAGGAAGATTTCGAGTTTCTAATTATAGAAGCTTTTAGTTTCTAAAGGCACAACCCACTATTTTTGACTGAAATACTCGAACAACAAACTAACATTACATTGACTTGCCTAACCTCTACAAGTCGACATCCTACTTTCCCAACCTAAAGGTTTAAAATTAGGTGTGAATATTTTCGCTAAGCCTTCATTTTCGGGAAGTAAGCACAGTATTTACATTGAAATTTGGGTTACCGGATAAAGGGTTAGGTTAGCTTACATAATATTACCAACTAAGAAAACAAATTTAACTGCAGTGAATTATTGAGGTCTAGAATCTTAGAAATTAGTAGGTACTAATATAGTTGCTATGAACCATTTCAAGTTTACAAGTACACCAAATTTGAATGTAGATATTGTGCCTACTTTTCAAAAATGAAGGCTCAGCGAACAACAGGTAATTTTCATCCTTTATATGTAGGATATAAGAGATAGGCAAGTCAATGAAAGTTTAGTTTATTGTACGAGTATTTTACCTGAAGTAGCCACTGTGTTAGTAAAACATGTCATGTGATCTATTGTGGAAAATCGTTTGTGATGTATTTTACTTCTACTATGGATTTCCATCAAATAACGGCCGAGCCAATTCAAAACCTGATGTTTTATACCAGCAACAGTTATCACTTCATAATTTTCAAATCGAAATATTCCGAAAACGGAACACAGTATCGAGTTTTACCAAGAGTACCTTCTTGATGTAAAATTGTATGATGTTCAAGTTCATATCAAATTTTGATAGACAAATCTATCCTCAAAAAGGTTATGTTCAAAACTACTCGGTACGAACCGTGTAACTAGCGCCCTCTACGAGAGTCAGATATTAAAACAACTTCGTGCCATGTGTCAGCTTTCAAAACACATCTATACGAAATTGCATTAGAATGTTGCCAGTACTTTTGTGTAACAGAAAAACATTTTCAACAGCTTGTATCTTGAGAACGGATACCTTTACGAAATGTTTCCACAGAACAAACCCAACTTATTTTGTGTTCTACCTACCCTAGCAGGTGGATCAGGTTTTTTCGAAACACCCTGTATACAGCCATATACATTTTTTGACTTTCATTCATGCGTCAAATGAGGTATCACCGGGTATCACTCAGCCCCCTAGAATTGGGGGTGGTTGTCGCGTTGAGAAGGGTTAAGGAGAGGGGATTTCTCTTATGTCACGGACGAGGTCACGGATTATCTTTCCAAAAACATGAATAGACATGTTTCAGGTTTTTAGAAAATGAATTTATCCGTTACATATGTTGAGCACTGTATGTTTAGCACTTGATATCTCCAAAGCATTCGATCGAGTCTGGCACCACGGACTCCTCGCCAAGCTTCAATTTTATGGCTTGTCACCCCAGCTATGTTCTCTGCTAGCTGGTTTTGGTCGTGGTCGTGGTGGTAGTGGTCGACGGAGTTTCATCTGACTCTCGTACCATAAATGCTGGTGTTCCGCAAGGATCAATTCTAGCACCAACGCTATTTCTACTCCATATCAACGATTTGTTGAAAGCAACTTCATGTCCAGTACACTTCTTCGCGGATGATAGTACCCTCCATACCGCCTTCTCTTTCAGGGCTCTAATACCAGCCAGGCAAATCAGAAACGAACGAGGAAAAAATGTTGACAACATAAATATGGACTTGGCAACAATTCTCGAGTGGAGATCGAATAACTTGGTAGATTTCAATGCAAACAAAACACAAGCATGCCTTTTCTCTAGAAAAGCCGATCTCACTGTGCCTAAAACAAGCATTTCAGGAGCAATGATACCTTTGAAGACATCCATTTCGATGCTTGGTATTACTATCAGCAATAACCTTTCTTGGGAGAATCACGTGGGATCAATTGCTAAAAGTGCATCCCAAAAACTTGGTTTTCTGTGTCGGGCCAGGAGCTATTTCACTTCCAGTCAGCTGCTTAAGATCTATAAGGCACGGATCCGACCTGTCCTGGAATACTGTTCCCATATTTGGAGTGCGGCACCCAAACATACCCTGAAACTGTTGGATTCTGTTCAAAAAAGGGCAATTCGTCTCGTGGGTGATGCCTCACTCACAAACCCACTCAGTTCTCTGGAACACCGTAGAAAAATTGGAGATCTGGCTCTATTTTATAGATATTTTCATGGACGATGCTCTTCTGAATTATCAACAATTGTACCTCCCTTGGCAGTCCCCGCGAGATCAACCCGTCTAGTTGAGGATTCGCACCCCTTCGTGGTCACTTTGGAGACCTGCAGAACATCTCTTTCCAACGACTCGTTCATTCAACGAACAGCGAGGCTCTGGAATACATGGCCAAGGGAGGTGTTCCCCGAGGCATATAACCTCCAGAAATTTAAAAGGAACACCAATTCCTACCTTATTTCCCTTGATTCTCACGATGTTCTCTGAACATTACAGGATAACCCTTTTCGTGGGAACCAGAACATAAAAAAAACACTTATGCCTTCATATTTGAACATTGTATTCAAACTATGACATTACGTGCATCTTATATTCGACTTCAGTTATTCAATCTGCAATA